ACAGACTTACTGTTCAGTTAGTGATACTTTGTATCCTCAACAGTAGATATATTAAATATATATATATATATATATATATATCTGTAGTTAACTCCTTGTTGTCTTCAGTGGTTTGACCTACAACATACTTCATTTTATATCTTTCAACAACCACTATGTGTAACATTCTACACAGTTATATTTAGGTACAATTACTTAGAATTAAATTATTTTTGTAATCCTAAACTTTGTACATTAAAATGTATCACACAGGTAATGCAACTGTATTGTTTAAAATGTAGAAACAATCAGTTACCTATTGCAAAAAGATTATGTACAGATTTCCATTCTTGTTATTCCAGACAATTCAGTATTGTTTTACATACTTATAAGCATTTTGATAAAAATGCTGGGATTTTAAGTGTTGTATCTATGCAGTTACTCAAACGTTTTTTTATATAACCAAAGGAAATGAATGATCATATCCGATCTTATTTATTAGGCAAACAAATGCTTAGCCAAATAAAAATCTACTGTTTTATGATATTCTTCAAATATCATCATCACAGAAAATTTGAAAACCATTAGGAATGAATAAGAATAAAAAATCTATTCAGATAATAATATATTATTGTTTCAACAAATAACAATGTTTAACTTCTTCACACTAGCCGCTGTAATGTTTCATTTTTACAATGATGATATGATACTAGTTAACCTTTTAAAAGCAGTGTAATACTGTAACAAAATTTTCAGTACTTTTGATATGAAAGAAGAGCCTGTCACTATAATATTATATTTTGATTAATCAATGTCAAAGTATATATCTTTATTTAAGTAATGCGATTGATATGAAAATAAGTTAGAAATAAACACTTCAAAGTTTTTAATTAAAATCAAATTATAATTATCTACAATGACATTAAGAAAAATGGTAAAAGAAATGTCCATATTCAAAGTTTTTCACAAAGTCATTTACTTATATCATTTACATTTTCACTTATTTTAGACATTAACAATATGAAAAACATCCTTCTCATGAGAATTCTAGCTTCTAAACAAGGAAAAATCAATTCTGTACCAAGTCTAGAAACAATGTTAGCATGTTTGGAAAAAGCCAATGAATGAAAACAATGTTAGTGTGTTTGCAAAAAGCCAATGCACGAAAACGTAACATGTAATTGATACTTATATAATCACTTATTGGCTGAGGAATTAACTGGATTGCTGTAACTCCAGCTGTGGTGATTTCAGAAAACCTCAAAAATCTTACGGTAATTTATAACCAAATCAAATAAAAACACTGACATCTAATGTTTCCTTTTGATATTATAGGATAGTGTAGGGATATCTGGCTGTTCTTATATTAATTTCTAGAAAAAAAAAAGAAAAATGGAGGATGAAAGGTTTGATGCCCCTAGAAGATCTAGACCTATTTATACATTAAATAATAAAATTAACTTCTGAAAAAAATGGGCAGAGGGGGTAGGCCCCTCCCAACTGCACATACTTATACAACATGAGAAATAATTATTAATTCCTGAAAATAAATGGATGGGGAGGTCTAGACTCCCTGGACCCCTACCCTAGATTTGCACTTGCTCTTATAACATTTAAATTAGAAATATAAAAGACAACATTGGTGGTGGGTGCTGCTAGCCAGTTGCCTTCCCTTTAGTCAGCAATTGAAAATTATGTAGCTTTGTGCTTAACAACAAACAAACATAATGGCAATATTTCAATTACTTGGATAGTTAGAATAATCAGAAACCCTAATCTCAAGTAACTGATTATTTTTATAACAACTGATTCAATCATAACTTCAGATATTAATCGATTAGTTTATGAGACATTGATATAATTGTTGCTCAGAGGTTATCAAAATACTGATTAATTCGCCCAGAACTAATCATCACATACAGGTTATTTTACTATTAGTACAAATATAGAACTAATTTCTGATGCATAATATGCAACAAAAAATGTTCCATAGCATGAATAACATGGACCTCATAACTAATGTAGTTCCAGGAATAAATCATCTAATTTTTATTTCAATAATTTTAATCTCAAAACTCTTAACCTACTTCAAATTAAAAGAAATATTTGAAAAAATGGGAACCTAATTGTTCAACAACAAAGATATAGAATATAACTGTTCAAAAAACAGCAAATTCTATATCGCTATTAAACTACTATCAAAAGTTTACACATTGAATCAGGAATACATTATATGTAAAAAAAAAGGTTTAGCAGATTGTAACTTTGAATATTTGGTGTAAAGCATGAATATTGAAACATTTTCCTGAATGACCTACCTTATCAAGCACAGCAGGTAATATATCATCAGGTGCTAATGTCAGAAAAACAAACAAAGCTGAGATACAAGACAGCACTGAGGAAAGGATAAGAGGGTCCTGAAACATTATAGAAGAAAAACAAAATAGGCTGCTAAAAAAATACAAAAGATCTTGGTTGTGTTTAATACTATAGTTTGAATTACTATGAACATAAAACCAAACAAGCTTGCTTAATGTAAGGTAAATATTAACAGCTATAACTATGTATGTGTATTTAAGTAAGCTACAAAAATTTTTTAGAAATAAATTACATCAAAATGAAGAACAGTGTGAATTTTACACAGTATTTCCAAACTTTAGATGAAAATAATTAAATTCAATTTTATAGAGAAGACAAAATAAATAAATGAAAAATATACTTGAAAAAATAATAAAAATACATCCACAAAACAAACATCCAACACCTGAGCAACAAAATGCAAATAATAAACATGATTTCTGGTAATTAAAAATAATAAACTGGTCTTAAAAACTAGAAAATTTATATAAAACACAATTAGCAGATACAATCTAAACATGATTTCACTACATTATTAACAACCATACCATTTAATGATTTGGTAATCAGGACTCAAAATGCCAGAGGGATCATAAAAATTATCCGCTAGGTAGCCTAGATGGCCCTTTAAAATCAAAAGAGCCATTAAAAGTTTGACTTCACATAAATTGATCTAAGTTTCTTAACTGAGCAGAACAAACCAAGAATGTACCTTCTCAAATTTATGAACACTCATCAGTCATGTCCAATCCACAAATGTCATCTCTATGAAAATCCGTGTATTCAAAGTAAATGCACTTTTGTTAATAAGGATGCCATCATTTTGTCTAATATTCAAACTTTTGTATCAGTGTAGTGGAATTGATATATAAAATTTCATTTATAAAATTTGAAATAGAGTGATTATTTGAACTTTTGTACAGACGACTATTGTTTTCTATCAGAATGTTGCATTTTCAACATTTTATATATGACACCAAGCCTGCATCAAGGCTCACACATTTTAAAAATCTACATAAAAGTTCTTTTTTGTCAACACTTTCCAAAAACAGACAATAAAAATTCCAAACTTGTAAGTTGTTTGGAGAATCTACCTTATTGCATGTACATTTTTTTATACATGTTAGGGCAAACACTTTTGAATCCACCTTTGCAAACTGCACTAGCTAAAAATAAAGTAAAAAACATAATATTACTGTTTTACTGATAAGTGACAACTGGAAATCACCAATTACTGATAATTACAGTAGTATTGTTGACAGTTTAACCTTAAACATTGTAACGACTACAGAGAATGTACCTTGAACCTTCAATAAATTGGAATTGGTTGAAGTTATCAATAAATGTGCCATGCAAAAAAAAAATCATGATATCTTTTCCATTTTTTTTGAATGAGTAAAACATTAAAACATAAAAATTGGGAATGACCCAGTGGCTAGTACATGATCAATACATAACATTATGTTACCATTGTGAGAGACAAACAGCTTGTTGAGGTTCATTGTCTAAATTCATCATTCACTTCAGCCACACATTCAAAGAATTTTGCTGTCACTCTACACATTTTGAATTAAACCACTTTCTAAGCTAATGGAAGTATTCCAACCAAAGGAAAAAAAAACAGTTTTTCAAAGTTATCGTTCATAAAGAGAGAAATTTTCAAAGTGGCTGCCAAAAGATTTTTTTTAATTGGCCTTATTAAAAATTATCCTAACTGTATCTTTATTGCATATGTAATAATCAACTTTCCAACCTTAAAAAAAGAAATGGCAATGTTAAATGCATTAAGATAAAGACCCACATCATGCTGGTTGAATTATTTAAAATTATCACTTCCCAGCTCAACACACATGCTTTCATTGAAAGTGTTTCAAATCTCAGCACTTACACCATCACTTTTGACATTTGTATAAAATCATGAAATATTAGCTTTTACTGGCAATACTGTTAGTTAGAGGTGCAAAGGACAGTTGATTATGACAATTACCCACCTTCATGATTCTTGTTTTTCAACCCTTTGCCATCTACTTGAAAAACCCATGTATCTAGTTTGTCTCATTCAGAAGCAATCCAACCAATCAGCAATCACGTTTGTCGAGCCATAACTAACTTTAAGGTAACTTCTTGGAACTATGCAAAACAAGACAGATGGTAGTGTGTTGTGCAAACAAAACAACCTACAGGACACACACTGTGTGTTGTTAACAGGAGTAGTAGTTTAGTAATCTTCCACTTTCCGTAGCTTGGACTATGGTAATCCAAACTATCGCATATTTTCAATGGATGTGTACTACAGGACCCTTACTTCATATACCAAATTTCAAGGCAATCCATTAAGAATTACACAAGGGACAAAATCTCCAATTTTGATTGAATTTCTTCCCTTTTCTTCACAATGAAAGTACGTAAAATTTATTTGTTCGAAAAACATACTTAAATTTTATGGAATTTATTTTCAAATTTGGTAGACTTGCTTGGTTCTGTAAAGCAAAGGTCTATTCCAAATAATAGGGTTGCAATTCTAAAGCTAATGTTGGTTACTATTGAGTGTCACTTTCTTACTTGCTGTGGTTTGTTGTTGTGTTTTGACAAATGAATGAATATTTGCAGTAAAATTCTTATCAATGCTATAAATGTAACTACCAGTTTGACCACAACTTTTGATTTCATTTCTTTTGGCTGTACCTTTTTTCACACCTAAGATGTTTTAGATTAGATTCATAAATAATGGGAGAGTCAAATGATGAAATGTAATGTTCCATAGCTGTCCAATAGGTAAGTTATTTTGTAAGTATTTGTATATACCTGTTTGCCACTTTCAACTTATTGTGACATCACTGACTGTGTCGTGAACAATTCAAACAGTTGACAAAACTCCTCTCTTGGAATGTAATGGGACATTCCAAATTTCAAATCGCTCTTTTGTCATGTGCTCTTCAGTAACTTCTCCAAACAATGAGTTCATACACAGTGTGGTACTAATGGGGAACCCCAAATTGTATCATCCCAAGAACTTAAATGGGAACAAAAAGTCACTGATATACCATGCTTTAGAGAAAAATTAAAGATCATATATGAAATAAAAATCATTAATTGTCTGAAAGTTATAATTTTCATATACTGAAAATGTATTTCTGATAGATACTTACCTCTTCTCACAAGATCAGGTATTCTCGTTCAGTGCTGTCCTCTATATGAAAACTTTTTCTTTATGCATGCCACAAGCCTTTTGTTGCTCCCCCCCCCATTGGATTTACTATGTTCCAACATGTCTCTCATGTAAATCATCATGAGTCATCTCTTAACTAACAGTAGTGTGATATCCTCACATGATGCATGTGGGAAGTGTGAGAGGAGGAAAGAACCTATCGGAAATACATTTTCAGTATAGGAAAATTATAGCTTCTGATAGAGTACTCACCTCCTCTCACGAGAGTAGCTGGAATACCACACTGAGAAGGAGGAGGGACAGGTGCAAGGGAATGAAAGAAGCACGCCGAAAGCATCTGAAGGATACCCCTTACAATGAGAGATATAGAACCGAAGATCAGAAGAAGGGAATGGCACCCATTCTGAGCCAGAAATTGAGGTGTAGAGTGGCTAGGCCACGGTAGACCATACTTGGTAAGTCAACTACATCCAAGACCTCCTCGCGGGGTACCGACATCCACACTAAGCATGGCAGGGATGGGCATGTTTACGAAGCAAAATATCGCGAGTTTATTCACCATCAAGCAATCTTGTGGAACACTTCATCTACATGGTGAGCATGCAAAGCCATGGAAGATAAAGCACAAATCAACATGTCTGTACAGTGTGGATTTAGAGTTAAGGAATACCTGGTCAGGCACCACTCGCCACGGAGCGAGATCTGTGTGATAAAAAGTAGATAAATGCCCCCAAAAGAAAGTATGATGAAAACTTTTACAAGTTAGAGTCACACTGAAGTCTGAAAAAGAGCCACAGGTGGTAGGCAAAACCCTGAGGAACAGGAACTACAATATGATGGAGATAGGCTAAGAGAAGAAGGAAATATGTTTTAAGGAAAGGATGAAACATGGAACCCAAAGAAAGTGGTTCAAATGGAGGTAAAGTAAGAGAATGGAGGACCACATTAACATTCCAATCCATAAGGGGGGGTTGTCTGGGATCTGGAAGGAATGCATGAGCATGGTAAGGATAGGGGAAGGAAAAAAAATGAAATGCCTAACATCACAAAAGTGAGGAGACCAAAGACCCAGTTGATAAATTCTGCCACGAGCCACAATTGGCCGATCGGCAGAAAAAAACCCTAGTTTTAGACCAATGACAGAATACCTGCCATTTGTATTGGTACACTTTCATGGAAATGGACTGATGGAACCAGCTAACAAGTAGGCGAATCAATGTGTGAAACAGGATCTTTTTTCCAAGGACCAGACAAAAGCCAGGTGTGAAGATGCAGAACATGAAGGGTGGGATGTAGTATGTGACTGGGGTTGACAAAGAAGTTAGGAAAAAAAGTGTAAGAGAGACAGAAGAGGAGAAGAGAAGCAGTCACTGTAATTGTGGAAACCAAGACTGAGCTGGTCAATAAGGACCAATCAGGAGGACTGACAAGGAGTGGAGTAGATGAGAGAATTCACCCAATGAAGTAACTGAATGGGTGATTACACATAAAGATACTTGTATGGCCAATCTTGGCTGAAGGCATTGACTGACAAGCCCGTAGCAAAGGAATCCACATGGGGAATACCCCACCAATGGCAGTGATCTCTGAAAATGAGGGGATCTAATGACCACTCTGTGGGATATATCTGGTTAGGATGCTAAAGACGTTCCATGACCAGAATGAGAACACCCAGCAAATGACACTCAATAATATGAAGGTGATGTAGAATTGGCTGAATGAACCTTCTCCAGACAGTATTGGGTGAGAAGAAGGAAGTTATGCAAAGTCTGATGTAAGACTAAAAGTTTGAAAACATTGATATGCAAATCTTTTTCTTTTGCAGACCAATGGTCTAAAGCCTCCTGATGATTGACCCATGCCCCCCCCCCCCCATCAGTGAAGGGATGT